TGCTAAAGGCCTCGCGTAGTTGAAGATTCCATCATTATTTGGGATAAACTTGGTGAAGGTGAGGCGCTCGCCGCCAGTCTTCTGCGTACGAAGTCTGAAGAACCGCGGAGGGTCGTCGGATTTCCTTTTCTTGCCCAACTTCGGTATTATTACGGATGTCGCTTGCGGTACGTAGAAGGCACCAAGGAGGAAGGAGGACCGGTGGCAAGCGTTCTCCGGCGAGATGCCGAGGCGCCGGAGGAAGGCCGGGCAGCTGATGAGGCGGAACCAACGTGTGCACGTGCCTGCGCAGCGGACAAGGTCGAGAGCGCCCGGCGCCACGCGCGCGAAGATCTCGCGCATGAGGTCGTCCGGGAGCACGCCGGCGGCCACACATCTTTTTTTGGTGGGAGGGTACTCCGAGTAGTGGGTACCTCGTAGGACCTCGACCCGCCTTACCGTTGTGGCTAGGTCTCGATGGATCCGTGGCTTCAGGCGATCCCTATAAAAGAAGCAGACTCGCAGAGGCCGGCGCGGGACGTTGGGCCGGTAGTAGAGCCCAATAAGCTGTTCTGCAAATCAAGCAGTAGAACAACAAATATGGTGCGCGTCTATACTTGCCTTTCTCCTCATATTTTATAAAGAAAAATCTATACTTGCCTTGTGTTCGTAGTTATCCAAGCTATATCGTGCGGCAACTGGCAAACATCTCATCTCACGTAGCCGAGTACCGTGGTCACGTTAACTAGCCTAGATTTTTTTTTTTTGGAGTCGTCTAGTGGGCGCTCAAGCGCCAGGTAGAGTTTGGGAGCGGCAGGTGGAAAAGGTAAGTACGTGGTCCGTTGTACACTAAAGGGAGTTGACCATCTAGTTTGCTTTTTAATTTTTGTTTCTTAAAAAAGCCATAACTTTTGAACCAAATATCGAAATTGAGATCCGCTTTCACCACTGAAATCCTCGCGATGTGCTCTTCGAAATTAGATCCCGCATGGATATGTTTTGACAAACTTTTTTTTGTGCAATTTTGTCCCCGTTTTGTGTAACTGACTAGCCGTCGATGTGCAACTACCTGAGAGGGATGTGCAACTTTTCTTGTACACCGTAGACATGCAGTTTTTCTCTATGGTACCTCCATCCCCAAATTGCCTCCTTCCAGTGAGATGTGCAACTTCGTTTGTTGCCCAGGCCATGCAATTTTCACTAGTGGCACCACCCCATACTACTCTCTAAAATTGAAATGTGCAATTTCATCTGCTGCCCCGGTGCCCTGGCCAACTGCCTGGTAGTCATCGCGCGTGTGAGCCTCTACAACCGCGTTTGAGGGACTATCCTGTAAGAATGTCCCAACTCCACGGCCACGCATGTGCGACTATGAACACAAGAGTGTGCAACTCCGTGGTCGGACGTGGGCACCTCCCATAGCAATTCATGTGCGACTATGCAGACGATATTGTGCAACTGTGTGGCCATGCATATGTGACTATGCCGACGAGAGTGTGCAACTCCGCGGCCGGGCATGAGCACCTCCCATAAAAACTCATGTGTGACTATGTGGACGAGGTTGTGCAACTCCATGGCCATGTATGTGCGACTGTGCCGACGAGAGTGTGCAACTCCGCAGCCATGCGTGAGCACCTCTCACGACAATTATATGTGTGACTATGCGAACGAGATTGTGCAACTCTGTGGCCATGCATGTGTGACTATACCGACGAGAGTGCGCAACTCCGCGGCCGGGCGTGAGCACCTCCCCCGGCAATTCATGTGCGACTATCCGGACGATATTGTGCAACTCTATGATCATGCATGTGCGACTATGCCGATAAGATTGTGCAACTTTGTGGCCATACATGTGTGACTATACCGACGAGAGTGTGCAACTCCATGTAGACAACTTTTCTGCACCCTCATGGTCTATGGATGTGCATTTTTTCACCATTCAACAAAACCATGTCAGTGAGATGTGCAACTTTATCTGTTGCCCTGGCCAACTGCCTAGCAGATTTTGTGCAACTACTTCTATTGCCCCTGCCAACTACTTCCAATGACCGTGTCCAACTGAAAACAACTATGTGTGCAACTAGAACTACTATAGATGCCAACAAAAAATGATCCCACATGGATATGTTTCGATAAACTTTTTTTTGTGCAATTTTGTCCCCGTTTTGTGCAACTGGCTAGTTGTTGATGTGCAACTACCTAATAGTCGATGTGCAACTTTTTCTTTATCCATGGATGTGCAGTTTTCAATGATGACACCTCACCTCAAACTACCCACTATCAAGTGAGATGTGCAACTATGTCTGCTGCCCCCAGCCAACCGCTTAGTAGTCGATGTGCAACTTTTCTCCTCTAGTTGGAAGTGCAATTTTCACTGTTTGCTACCTCGGCCAACTGCCAAGCAGTGGATGTGCAACTTCGAAAACTGTCCTTCCAGCCAACTACCTAACGGTTGATGTGCATGTGTAACTTTCCTCATACCCGTGGATGTGTAGTTTTCATTGGTAGCACCCCTTTCCATCCAACTCAGCTAGTGAGATGTGCATCTTGAGGGTCTCACCTGTAAACATTAATGTGTGTGTAACTAGACTACATTACCACGCCAACTGAGTATATGTGTGTAACTAGTCCTGCCAACTAAACATCAATGTGTGTGCAACGAGACTACATTGTCACGCCAACTAAGCATATGTGTGTGCCAATAGTTTTGTCAACTAAACATCAATGTGTGTGCAACTAGACTACATTGTCACGCCAACTAAGCATATGTGTGTGCCAATAGTTTTGCCAACTAAACATCAATGTGTGTGCAACTAGACTACATTGCGGCGCCAACTGAGTATATGTGTGTGTAACTAGTCCTGCCAACTAAACATCAATATGTGTGCAACTAGGACTACTATGTGTGCAACTACAACTACTGTGGATGCCAACAAAAAATAGTAAACAATAGATCAACTTACACCTAGATCCCAATTCTCTGAGCAACCTAACATGTTTTAGAGTGAATATTCGTCAGCTGACTTGTTACGATCGGTGAATTACACCCTATCCTCACAATGCCGACAAGAGTGTGCAACTCCGCGGTTATACGTGAGCACCTCCCACAGTCGTGCGTGTGCGACTATGCGTGCAAGAGTGTGCAACTCCGCGACCATGTATGTGCGAATATGTTGATAAGAATGTGCAACTCCACGGTCGTATATGCGACTCAGTAGTTTCTTTAGAAAAAAGAACAATATAAGTCTGAATTTTCTGAAAACTTGTAGATGAATTCCAAAAGGGGGGCTAGCATGTTCTGAGCACTTAAATTGGAACCATGCACTTGTACTGCACATGCTCAGAAACTACAGAGCACCAAATCGGGTTGAATCCACTAGTACAGTACCTGTAGAGCACCAAATCGGCTGCAAAGCGAGATGCACCAAATCAGCTGCAGACCTGAAATGAAAATCAACAGAATCACCAAATTAAAAGCGGCAGCAGCGGCAGCAGCCAGATCCAGCCGAATCTGCGAAGAAGCAGCAGCAGCCGTGTGCGGCGACTTCAACTCGTAGCTGGATCCCGCCCGCAGCAGCAGTAGCTTGGCCTGGGCGCGCGGCGACGCGGCGGCTATTTCAACTCGCAGACAGATCCCGCCCGCGTCAGCAGCTCATCGCCTTCGGCGGGGTCGAGGCACTGCTTGTCGCCCGGCATGGAGGCCTGGGTGCGCGACGGCGCGGCGCTGCTCGTCAGTGTTCAGATTGGGCATGCCACTGCTCTCCCAGCCGGATCCCGCCGAGGCTGCGCTCGCGTGCGTGCTCGGTGGCGCACTCCGGTGGCCGGTTAACGGCGGTCGCCGGACGCGAGGAAGTAATGGACATGCGCGTCCGCGCCTCCGGTGTGTGTGTGGCTGGCAGGTGGGTTGGAGTGATGGTTGTGTGGGGATTTGCTAGGGTGGACCCCGACCAGGTGATTTGTCGGTAGCACATGTGACTTTCGGGACGATCAGGGGCGAGATCGAACGGCGCACGAGCGGCCGCTCGGTTCGACTAAAAAGTGCGCGGCCACTTTTTAGATTTTAGGTTTTTTTTTGCGGGTGTCTAGCCTAGAGTTGTCTGGGCGATCGATCGAGTGGAGACACTAGCTTTTTGGTTTTTCCACAAGAAAAATAAAATTGACGCACGGCAGACCATACGTCACATATGCACTTGTGGTGAGGTCACCATTACGCACGTACGAGCAGTGCCCAAGGACCTAGAGGATTTGATTTGATTTGATGATGAACAGTTAAGGTACAAACCTTAAAACAGGACACAACAAGCATATATATATTAGAGAGGGAGAGGCCATCTATCTTGGTTGCCTGGCTGGGTTAGAACCAGCGCCACCTGTGTGAGGGCATGACGGAGGTGGAGTGCAGAGTCTGATGAAGGGCGGACTGGATTGGGTTGGTGCTCCTACACCATATATCTAGGTCGCTGTAATCAAAGAAGATAACCTACAAACAACATCAAATAGATACTTCTAAGAATATGGTCTATTCAGTCGTACAATGGATATTTACACATCACTAAATTTGAATCATTACCGATATATGAAATCTAACATATCGTTGCTTATTGTTACCTTTATATAAAATCTCATATTATTGATTCAAATTGTTATCGTCTTTCCTACATAAATGTTACTCAGAAAATGAACAATAAATTCCTGCGGCAATGTGCAGGGTATCATCTAGTTAAAACCATGATGGCTATCAAAGTGTGTGAAAAAAGTGGCATGTTGTTGCACAATTTGTTCGTTGATGACCGAGAGTTGGTAATAGAAAAAAAAATTGTTATTTGTGTTATAGCTCACAGTTATTGAATGGCAAAAAGTATTGACAAAAAAAAGTATTGACAAAATAACAAAACTACCACAAAATAGTATTACACTATGTTTTATTTTCTGATCAATAGAACACTATCAACGACCATTCATTCATTAATACACAATAATATCATGTGTTCAACTCTCTCATCCTATTTCTATTGCATGTCTTAGCTTCCAGCCGAGAGGTGAAATAGGTATGACGGCCAATCAATCTCGTAGAGCACATGGTTCTTGCACCTCCACATTTCATCGCCGTTATATGAATAAAACATGGCCAGATTACGGTTTTCCCTTATCACCGGCTGTATTTTCTTGGTCACGAGGTCAAGACTGAATATGGTAGGACACTCTTTCTGCATCATGAGTATCACACATGACCTCTCTGCGAAGGACAAGATTTCAATTCCCTTGACCTCTAGGGGCATCAGCTCGGACTGCACCCATCCTTCCTTACCTTCAGCACTATGATCATTGTCTTGTTCTCGCTTCGTCCAAAGTTCTAGGACATTGTCGGTGCTTGTATAAACAAATGAGAGCTTTCCTTCCCCGACGATGCATGGGAACGGTGGCAAGCCACTTTTGAGTTCAATAGGGATCTCGGTTAAGGACACGTGTGTTGCGTCAGCGAATATGTTGAGAGTGTAGAAGTTTATATTATTTGTGTACAACCAATGCACGATGCTTCCGCTGACCACACCAGCCAGTGGCCCAGACCTAGTGAGGCCGAAAGTTTGGGAGCACTTGATAGGTGCACTCCAACTATTCGTGGCAGAGGAGTAAGAGAAGGCGTACACCCGTTTTTTTTGGAAGCATATAGTGGTGAAAAGCACTTGGAACAGTGGCTGCCTGCGGTGGTCTAGATCACCGGCGGCGCGGTGGTTTGCCACAGTAACAAGGGCATAGCCGGTCATATCATACCAAACGCCCATGGTGCCCAAATCCTGCGGAGGTGGTGGGAGGAGACGCGTGCTCCGAGCGCCCAACAAGGGGTGGCACACGGCCAGATGGATCTTCTCCAAGTCATGGGGCATGCGGCGGCGCACGAGGAGAAGGCCGCGATGCGACACCAGGGGCTTGGCATAGTTGAAGGTTCCATTGTTGTTGTGGATGAACGAGGTGAAGGTGAGACGCTCGCCGCCGGTCTGCTGCGCACGTAGCCTGAAGAATCGCGGAGGCGAGTCGGATATCCTTTTCCTGGGCGTGTTCAGGTGCACGGGTATCGCTTCGGGTCCGAAGAAGGCACCAATGAGGAAGGAGGACCGATGGCGTGTGTTCTCCGGCGAGATGCCGACGCGCCGGAGGAAAGCCGGGCCGGTGATGAGCCGGAACCAACGCGCGCACGTGCCCGCGCAGCGAATGAGGTCGAGGAGGCCCGGCGCCACGCGCGCGAAGATCTCGTGCAGGAGGTCGTCCGGGAGCACGTCGGCGGCATCCACCGCACGTCGCTTGGCGATCGATCTTGGTTGCATGGCTGCGCCTGGGCTAGACGGCTAGCTAGGTCTCGATGGATATGTGGCTCCCTGTTTTGTTGCTTGGATTGGGTGCGATCTCTCTCGATGCAGAAGAGAAACAGCGTACGTATGTGCACAGCGCCGCGGGGTACAAGACCAGACGCGCCTGAACGGGAGAAAAAAAAAAGGAAAAAATAGAAAGAAAGGACGCGTGCGCGTATGTCGTCGAGAGATTGGATCGAGCAGACGTACATGGACTAGACTAGACTGGATCCAGCTAGGCATGGCCAAAACGAGTTTTTTTTTTCCAAAACGAGCTTTCGACTGGCATTGATTAGGGCATGTCAAAAGGCAACCTGCAAATTTTCTCCTGCATCTGTCCGCGGACAGGGGATACCACTCCGCGGACAAGAATGCAGGAGGTTGACATTCAACGCTAGCAGTATACATGTTAAACTTTTTTTTTAACAAACCGGATGAAGTTCGTGCAAACACGACCGGATTTCGAACAAACATGATGAATTTCATACAAACGTGGCGGATATAACTACATTTTGAACATTTAGAAAGAAAAAACCCGCCCCTAAATCTATCATGTTGCAGCGCCGGCGTTCAAGCCCTTGTCATCCTCCTTCGTCCGTCTTCATGAGCACCGACGATAAGACCGATGAGTGAAGATGCAGACTCCAACGATGAGGCGTAGAACACCGGAGACGAACCAGCCCACATGGGACAGCAAACCCCCCTCCCCCCCTCCCCGCCTCCCGTGTCTTACTCATCCTCGGAGGAGTCCGTGCCTAATCCGTTGCCGGTGGACGTGAGGTCCAGGAGGGAAATGGTGGTGTCGGTGCTGTCGTCGTCCTACCGGGCCGGCTGGTGGTTCGTCAGGGGCGCGTACAAGGTGCAGTTGGCGATGTTCTTTTCCGTGATCGCCTGCAGTTGTGCCTACGCGGCTACTGCTTCCTGGCGAGCATCAAATTAATACTTGCCAAATACTCAGTGTTTTGTTGTACAGAGAAAAACATGTCCTGTACAAGAACAATGGACGTGCAAGTCGTTGTCCCAGCTTGATCTTTTTTACGTCTCTCAGATGCGTCGTCTTGAAGGTCCCGGTGTTCGATAGCGTGCCCGAGATGTTGTCCTGGTCTAATTCGTTCAACGGCAGGGGCTTAACTTTTGGTGAGCCATCTTGGAGGTTTTCAAAGCTGCATACCAGCGATGGAGCTGCATCGAGCTCGGGTGAGGAGGTGATTCACCATTCTTTTCTTCGGTGGCTGTTGTGGTGGTGTCGGAGGCAGGTGACGGACATTGTTGTCAAGCTCAACGATATTCTTCTATCTATTCAAATTTTTCATGTCCGTATTTACATGACTTATACTTTGATCTTTATGATATGAATGAGACATGTCTTACCATGCGAAAAAATGTGCGGCCTCGCTCATCCGAGTCATGGTTGTCATGTGGGCATCATGCTCAACCTACTACTGTCTTGGACCTCCCGCGACCACAGTTGGTCATGATATAGAGGCAGCATATGGTAAGAGCATCTCTAGCAGACCCCTCAAAATGCGGACCTGTAAACTCAGTCTATAGTTCGCTCGTTACCTCAGATAAGGGCCGAAAACCTCCGAGAAAGAACAGAAACCATAAATGGAACTGTAAATTTTGAATTCAAGACTTTCGTGGGAGAAATAGATCGAGTTCATAGTTCTTGATAGCCATACATAGTTCATACATACACTAAATAGCTAGGACGATAGGCAGCCACCGTAACCTAAAACAAAAAATTTGCTCACCAGAGCCATTCGGGTGCGGTGGCAACGCTGCGGCGACGGACATCATCAGTCGTCGTCGTCGGAGACGAGGTCGATGTAGATGTCGTCCTGCACCTCGAGCTCCCGCTTCACCACGCGGAGGGTCGGGAGATCCACCGGCTCCCTTTTCATCGATGTGAGGAGCGGCGTGCGGAGACTCGACACCTAGGCGCGGAGCTGCCCGCGGCGAAGGAGGGGCCCATGCCGGAGAAGATCTGTCGTACTCCTCTATCTCGTGGCAGAGGAGCGACTCCGGCGGCTGGAGGCAATGGTTGGTGTACTTCTTCGCCGCGCGCTTCCTCGTGCCGACCGCTTGAACACATCGCCGGCGCTCGGGGTCGTCGCTCCTGCCGGAGCTGCGGCCGGAGCTCCACATTCCGCCCCACATAGTGGCGTTGGCGGCAGGATTGGACTCAACAACAATGAGAAATAGAAGGTAGATATTGGGGAGGATTGGGGAATCACGGCGGCTGAGGGATAGGGTTTCGACCTGTATCGGTGCCGTGAACCCGTAGATATACCGCGTCGGCAGGGGGGAGGGGGGCGGTTTGCGGGCCACCGTAAAATGTTTTATGGGCCGAGCAACTATACGGGCTCTGTTCTGGCCAAAAGAGTGGGCCGAGCCCATATAGTCGCTGGGATTTCATGGGTCCGCGTGTTTTAATAGGTTTGATGGAGATGCTCTAAGTGTCGTATTTTATTTGAGCTCCGGTAAAGCATGGGAGCATTTTAGGTGTAAAAATTAGTAGCATATGGTTAAAACTCAATCCGCTTTTTTCAAGCATTACAAACCTTGACACATCTCGGTGGTGACCTTGCTGCGGCGCTGTGAGGACAGTGCGGCAGCCGGTCATCGGTGATCAGCAGAAGACTTCCCATTCCTTGATTCGCAGCGGAGTTGAATATTCTTGGTTCCTTTTCCTACCAGTGATGGTCTCTCTCAACGGGGAAGGAGAGATGTCCAACCCGAGACGTCTGTCTGGCGACACGCTGGGCGAACTTGCCACACGGCGGTGGCCGGTGTGGTTCGCCGCGGATCTTCGGGCGGTGAAGACTCTCAGGTTCCACCGTGGTGAGGTTGTGCTGGGCGTGCACCCGATGATGGTACATCTCATCGACGAGCGGGGGTGCACGGTGGACACGTGGTCCAGAGCAGGGCTCGTGTTAGCCCCTGGTGTCGCGATTGTGTTCCCCTGTCATGTTGCGCGCATTGAGGGTGAGACCCGGGGCGGGGGCGACTCCTTTAGAGCCGACGAGGGAGGAATTGCGGCCGGTGGGAGAGGGAACACGGCCGGTGGGGGATTAAATTCGGGCGATACTTCAGGTGAGCTCGTCTTAAACTCTCCCTGTCCTCCACTTCCACTTCCACACACTTCGTTTCCTCCTTTGCTCGTCGGCGACCGCGGCGACCATGGTGGAGATCGACGAGGAGAAGATGAAGAGGTTCGCAGGCAGGGACGCGCGCCTACACGCTCGCCTGCGAGAGATTGGATCGTGGTACACAAGCAAAAAGGCAACGTATGTGGAGGCGGAGGCAATCTTCGAGGGGCTGACGGCGGCGGAGGAGAGGTTGCTCTTCGGGCGTGGAGTACGCAAGCATTCGCTCCAGGTGCTGTTGTGGGCGATGGATCAGGCGGATTCGCCGGTGAGGGCCGTGGCAAGGAAGTGGGTGATACGTATCCAACGTATTTATAAGTTTTGATTGTTCCATGCTATTATATTACCCGTTTTGGATGTTTATGGGCTTTACTTTACACTTTTATATCATTTTTGGGACTAACCTACTAACCGGAGGCCCAACCAGAATTGCTGTTTTTTTGCCTATTTCAGTGTTTCGAAGAAAAGGAATATGAAACGGAGTCCAAACGGAGTGAAACCTTCGGGAGCGATCTTTTTGGAACAAACGTAATCCAGGAGACTTGAAGTGGACATCAAGAAGTAAACGAGGCGGCCACGAGGGTGCCCGGCGCGCCCTAGGGGGGCAGGCACGCCCCCCACCTCGTGGGCCCCTCGTGGCTCCCCTGACCTACCTCCTTCGCCTATATATATATCCACGTACCCCCAAAACATCCAGGAGCACCACGAAAAACTATTTTCACCGTCGCAACCTTCTGTATCCGCGAGATCCCATCTGGGAGCCTTTGTCGGCGCTCTGCCGGAGGGGGAATCGACCACAGAGGGCCTCTACATCATCTCCAAGGCCTCTCTGATGAGTTGTGAGTAGTTTACCACAGACCTCCGGGTCCATAGTTATTAGCTAGATGGCTTCTTCTCTCTCCCTTTGAATCTCAATACAGAGTTCTCCTTGATCTTCTTGGAGATCTATTCGATGTAACTCTTTTTGCGGTGTGTTTGTCGAGATCCGTTGAATTGTGGGTTTATGATCAAGTTTATCTATGAGAAATATTTGAATCTCCTATGAATTCTTTTATGTATGATTGGTTATCTTTGCAAGTCTCTTCGAATTATCAGTTTAGTTTGGCCTACTAGATTGATCTTTCTTGCAATGGGAGAAGTGCTTAGCTTGGGGTTCAATCTTGCGGTGTCCTTTCCCAGTGACAGCAGGGGCAGCAAAGCACGTATTGTATTGTTGTCATCGAGGATAAAAAGATGGGGTTTATATCATATTGCATGAGTTTATCCCTCTACATCATGTCATCTTTCTTAATGCGTTACTCTGTTCTTCATGAACTTAATACTCTAGATGCAGGCAGGAGTCGGTCGATGTGTGGAGTAATAGTAGTAGATGCACAATCGTTTCAATCTACTTGTTGCGAACGTGATGCCTATATACATGATCATGCCTAGATATTGTCATAACTATGCACTTTTCTATCAATTGCTCGACAATAATTTGTTCACCTATCGTAATACTTATGCTATCTTGAGAGAAGCCACTAGTGAAACCTATGGCCCCCGTGTCTATCTTCTATCATATAAGTTTCCCATCTACTTTTATTTGCATCTTGTACTTTCCAATCTATATCATAAAAATACCAAAAATATTTATCTTATCTTATTATCTCTATCAGATCTCACTTTCCAAGTTACCGTGAAGGGATTGACAACCCCTTTATCGCGTTGGTTGCTGGGTTCTTGTTTGTTTGTGTAGGTGCGTGGGACTTTTGAGGAGCCTCCTACTGGATTGATACCTTGGTTCTCAACAACTGAAGGAAATACTTATGCTACTTTGCTTCATCACCC